GTATCATGCATAGGATCTTGCTAATATTATTATGCTTTATTGAGATTATGATGATGATGATTTTTGTTATTATTGTTGCCTGATATATATTATTTTTGTTATTGTTTGATCACGCCTTCTCTTGCGGGATTAAAGCAAATTGGTACTTGTAATCATGCTTAATAAGATAATTAATATTCTTGTTTAGGCTAGTATGATTATAATTCAAGTAATCGCCAATAATAGTTTTGTTTGTGTATTAATATTCAACCAACATAGATTAAACAGGTTTACGATTAATATATTGATTGTATGTTATTCAAAAAGCCCACATAAATATGAGAAGAATAAAGTAGAAGCCTATTTTTAGGGCAGGTTTAATCTCTTTTAGGTTGGATTTGTACCTTCATCCCCGCATATCCAATCATGGTTCCAGACCACTATGGAGTTAGAGATCTCATGGATCATGAAGGGGTGCAACCGTCACCCTATGACGATTTACAAGTTCCTAAAACTTGTTGGCGACTCTTTTACTCTAGCTTATTTCCTTTTGGACACCACCATGCTTAAGTGTATGATCACAGTGGGGCTCAAGTGTGGGATGCTTAAAATTATTCCCTACTGATCTATATAGACATGTTTTGTCATGTGGTACTAGTTATTTTTTACTATTGTTTATGATTATTCAAGAGCTGTTTGGATTTATTTGTTGATTAATAAAACTGAACTGTTTCAAATGTTTATGCGTTTGTTGCTATGTTTGATAGAAAATTTAATCAAACAATTAAAGTTGTGCAAAGTGATCTGATAATGGGACTGAATTTAATTATTTGCATAACTACTATGCAACTAGTATCTCTTCCAAACCTCATGTGTAGGGACTCCTTAACAAAACGGGAAGGTAGAGAGAAAACACAAACACATTCTTAATGTCGCTAGAGCCTTGAGATTTAATGCCAAATTACCTATTTATTTTTGGGGAGATCGTCTAGACGCGGCTCATTTGATTAATCGAACTCCTACGCGTATTTTACACAATAAAACTCCTTTTGAAATTCTCTTAAATAAACCACCCACCCTCCTTTGATAATATCCGTACCTTTGGTTGCTTATGTTTTGCTCATAATCAATGGAATAAAGGCGATACGTTTTCTAGTAGGAGTCGTAAATGTTTATTTGTGGGGTACCCTTTTGGGAAGAAAGGATGGAAGCTTTATGATCTTGGACCCAAGGAATTTTTTATATCTCGTGATGTGAAATTTGTAGAAGAAATGTTCCCTTTTGATAGCCCGGATGAAGTTAATATTGATGCTAATTTCAGTGATACGTAGGATAATATTCATGTTGATTTTGCTGATTTTGACTTGGGATATATTGAGAATAAAAGCCTTGATAGTGAGGCCATTAATGATACGTTGGAAGGAGGGGAATCAGCCCACTCTGCAACCACCCCGCGACATATTGCTGCTGATCACAGGGGGGCTACGGAGTCCCCTGCTCCAGCGACTACCACAGACCGACAGCAGCTAGGTGAGGCAGCTATTCCCCAACCACTGCAGTCCAAGCAGCATTCCCCAGCGACTGCCACGGATCAGCACCATCAGTCCGACTGTCCGAGCAGGACTCCTCCCAAGCAGATTCTATGGCACAACATGCACCTCGTTAGTTGGGTCGTGGTTTTCGGGATAAATATCCCTTGGTTTTCCTTCGTTTTTTTTCACACACATGGTTGTTGCTAAGAGCCCATCTCCTTCTTCCTATTAGTCTCCAGGTACTTTGTATCAATCCCTTTGCACATTATATAAATTGTAACACTTTTTCTGTGAATTACTGAAATTTATTGCAGTTGTGGTTCAAAGCAAGGATCCGACATCTTTCAAAGAAGATATGAAGTATAATGGGTGGAGAAATTATATGCAAGAAGAAATTTGGGCTCTTGAAGATAATGGGACATAAACCTAAGAGCGTCTTTCTCCTTGCAAGAGAGCTCTAGGCAGTCAATGGGTCTACAAGACCAATTTTTTGTCGAATGGTGACATAGAGCATTTGAAATCGTGTTTGGTTGTGTTTGGAAATCATCAAAAACCAGGCATCGACTATGATGAGACATTTGCTCCGGTGGCCAAAATGGCAATTGTTCGCACTGTTCTTGTTATTGCGGCTTCTAAAATTTGGAAGTTACATTAGATGTTGTTCATAATGCATTCTTACATGGTGATCTAGGTGAAGAGGTCTACATGAAACTTCCACCCAGATTTGAAAGTTTGGATCCTAATTTGGTTTGCAGATTGCGCAAGTCGTTGTACGGCTTGAAACAAGCTCCTAGATGTTGGTTCAAAAGCTAACTTCAGCTTTGAAACAATATGGTTTTCTACAATCTTATTCAAATTATTCATTATTTACATATACTAAGGCCGACATTCAAATAACTGTCTTGGTTTATGTTGATGATCTCATTATTTTTGGGAATAATTCCGCTGCTCTTAACTGTTTTTAAAGCATATCTTAGTGTTTGTTTCAAGATGAAGAACTTGGTCCTTTGAAATATTTTTTAGGCATCGAAGTAGTACGTAGCTCTGCGAGCTTGTTTTTATGCCAACGTAAATATATGTTGGATATCATTTTTGAGGTCGGTTTATTAGGCGCAAAGCCTAGTGGTTTTCTTATGGAGCAAAACCACAAACTCAGCACGGTTAGTGGCGCATTTTTATCTGATCCTGAGGCATATCGTAGGCTAGTAGGGCGCTTAATTTATCTAGCGGTCACTCGCCCTATTTGGCTTATTCAGTTCACATATTGTCTCAATTTATGCATGAACCTCGTATTGAGCATTGGGATATGATGCTGCCTTGAGGGTCGTATGATATTTAAAAGGCACTCCAGGCCAGGGTATTCTTTTGAGCACTAATTGTGACTTGACTCTACAGGGTTGGTGTGATTCGAATTGGGTTGCATGTCTACTTAATCGACGTTCATTATCTATTTGGCTGGTGTTCCTTGAAAAATCTCCAATTTCTTGGAAAACGAAGAAGCAACTGACGATTTTGATCTCTTTCATCGTCTGAGGCTGAATATAGGTCCATGTCCGGAGTTACTTTTGAGCTTAAGTAGCTAAAGGTCTTATTGTTAAGCTTGGGTGCTCAACATCCAAAGGCAATCAAATTGTTTTGTGATAGTGTGTCAACATTACACATTGCAAAGAATCCAGTTTTCCTTGAATGTATTACGAAGCACATTGAGGTTGGTTGTCACTTCGTACGGGATGCAATTAAGGATGGATTAATATCTCCTTCTTATGTTTCCACTAAGGCACTACTCGCTGATATTTTTACCAAGTCTCTAGGCAAATCACAGTTTGATCATCTTCTTTCCAAGATGGGCATTTCGGATTCGCATGCTCCAACTTGAGAGGGGATTATGAGATATATCGTATAATATATTTTAGGAAGATATTTATCTATCTCCTAATATTATCTTTTGTATTATAGTTAATTTCTTAAATATTCTAGAATATCATTTGATTTTAGGTTAAGAAGTTATATATATATATATATATATATATATATATATATATATATATATATATATATATATATATATATATATATATATATATATATATATATATATATATATTTGTGTTTAGAGAGCCACAGTTGTAACTATTATATATAGTGTGACATGGTTAATGAGAAAGTAAGCTATTCAATTCTATTTTCTATCTAATTTGTCAGAGGAGCAAATTATTTGTTGCAGGCTATCAGAATTTACACAAACTCTGTTTCTCTAGTCGGATGCTCAAGGAGGAAATTGTTACTGATCTGATCTTCGTCTTAGATGGACGACAGGTGATATTCACTGAACTATTAAGGCCCTTTACATGGTGTAGCATCCAGAAGGTTTAAAGGGAACGAGTTCACAAGGCGCATATCTTTGCTACCATGGCTAATAGTAATTTATCTTCCTTTAATAATGCGTTTTTGTTTTTTGTTAAAAAGTTCATGTAAATAATTAAAATAACTCCAAGTTATATATAATTAGAAATAGAAAAGCACCCTAGGCCATTATTGCAAAAAAGCAATGAATACCAATCCTGTATGAGCATATGTTATAAACCCTATTTTCATTTGACAATTGTGCTTATTATTAATCCGTACAACAAAGTTAATGAATTTTACCTCTTTTTCTTGAATACAAGCCCCCACAGACTTTGTAATTAACCCACATTTCTTTAGTCTTTACGGTGGACCACGTTACTTTACATTTCAATATTGCAATTAGTTTGTCGATTTCAGCCATCAAATCCTCAATTCCTCAACCAATATCCTCCCATGGCCCCATTGGTTAGTAAGTCTAGCTACTCCGCACCATATTCTCAATAAGAAATCTTTATGTTCGTACATCCTTTTATTAAGCAAGAACGATAATAGTGTAAATTTACAAAAATTGTAAGGTGATCATGTGGATAAGATTTGTACACATACGTGATATTCAATTTTACGATCAAGGTTTTATTTTATTTTTTAAGTGATGAAAAAAGTTAAGTAATATCTACAGCTAACCGTTATTAAAACCGTTACCTTAACAAACACTCCTAAATTTTTTCTGATAGACGCTAATCGCTACCTCAAACGCTACCACCAAACAGAGCCAAAGTTTCCTTAGTGATCAAGTGATAATTGAACCTTTAACATCAAAACTGTAGATATAATCATTTACATCAGGCCAAACCGTCAGGGTTAGCATGAGATTCTTACCAACAATTGTTTACTTTATTTTTTACATTCAATTACTCTGTACTTATAAATTTATAACATACACATTGCCAACATTGGTAGTTACATATCAGAATGAGAATAGAATTCTACAAAGCACAAAGTACTAATGTACTATGTATGTTTACAATAAAAAGTAAATTAAAGGAGTTTAAGCAATAATCATTGCTACAACAAAATTATAAAATAAACAAAAACAAGAATCAATCATTAATTAATTTCAATTCTTCAAATAATTCATCATTATACACATCTTCAATGTAGACATATCTTTCTATTCAACTTATTAAACAATTCAGATCAAGAATATATAGTTTAAATATAACAAAATTTCAAGAGCTAGCTAGATACATAATTGTCAAAATATAGAGAAGCATACAACAACCTATTCCAAGTATCAGGCACCCCAGGAAGGCACCAATGCCCACAATCGGGAATAATTCTTTGATCTTGGTGATTCCTACTATTTTTTGTACGAATTTTCCAATCACTAAACCTATAAATAGAAGGATGTGCATCAATTCTGTACTCCGTCAACTTGGTAATGTTCAAGTACTTCACTTGCGACGTTCTCATCCCTTTGATCACGCTTTCAATAACGCGAACAAGAGTTCTAGGAAAAATGAATCTAAAGGATTCATCCATGAAAGGTTGTGTTCTAGAGTAACAATATTGGTTATAGAAGGAAGATTGGTGTTCAACTGAAATACTTCTAAAGAAAACAGTTGTTTTCTTTTGGTCGATGTTATTTTCCACCCAATTTGCCCATGTTCTAATCGCCCGTGTAAATGCTTGGTGTAGTGGCATTTTCTCTGTCAGCTTTCCTTTGTATTCGAACAAGTCCCATCTGAAAAAAGTAAGGCAAATTATGAGGTTCATTGTAGTGAATAGTACAAACAAGCATTATTTGATATTTCATCTAGTTGGTGTTAGTTAGTGTCTCCCGACATGAAAGTCGTGTGATTAGTTACTTTATATGTCTTTTTAATTACTGTAAAAGAAATCTATATTCTTGGTATATGTGGTAAAGATATTTATTCAGACTTTCCTCAAAAAAAAAAAAAAAAAAAAAAAAAAAAAAAAAAAAAAGAGATATTTATTCAGACCTAACATAAAAATTAAAACAAACAAGACCAAATTAGAAAACTTAGGGTTCAAATACCATTCAATTAGATTTCACCAAAAAAAAAAAAAAAAAAATTTGAACAAAAAAAACAAAATTCCTAAAACCAAACCATAACATACTCGCTCTATTATATATTAATTGCAACACTTTTTATTTTTGAGCGTTTACCTATTTTATAATAATTGCAACACTATTATTTTTAGTAAGAATTTCTATCATTATTTTATAATTTCTATCTCTCACTAACCCTAATTCAAAAACATGAAAAAAGTGAATTATATGGGTTGTGTAAGAGATGTACATTGGTACAAGTTCTTCCAAAAATGTAATAAAGTGTTCAATCAATTTTATTTATCTTTGGACACCTTAATCCTTATCATTGAATTCTACTTTGTTTGCATAAAGAAAGGGGAAGGAAAAGAAGGGGAGGGAGGAGAAGAGGAGGGGAAGGGAAGAATGGTGAGTTTTCCTTTCAAATCTCCACATTGTTAAAAGAATCAATTTCCTACAATTTAATCATTCCATTTCTCTCCCCTCCAATTCCCTCCCTTCCTCATTTGCTATTCAAATGAAAAATACTCCACCTCTCTATTTCTCTTCCCTTCCTTTCCCTCCATTTCCTTCAATCCAAACACACCGCAAAAGAATATGCAATTTGGGATTAAAAAAAAGTGTAGTACTCCATCCCTTTTTTTTAATTATTACACTTCCTAAAATCGATCATTTTTTTTATTTGCAATAATATAATTTCTCAATGAAAAATATCTCATACTTTCTCCTTTTTTTATTTGCATCACTTGTGTTTACACCGAGTTTTAGGAGAATGAATTAGGTATAATATAATAATGTGAGTGGATAAGTAATTTATTATGGTAAAAGTAATGTAGGAGCCATAAAAGGAAAAGTATATGAGATATAGTAGTGGAGACCATAAGAGAGAGAAATGATAAATTATTTGAGTAGGGTTTAAAGTAAGAAAGAGAAATAATAACATATAGTATTAAGTTACTATATAGAAGTGATGCAAATAGAAAAAGAATAAAAAAAAAAACAAAACATTCATACAAGAAAAGTAATGCAAATATAAAAAAACGGAGGAAGTATTATTTTTATTATATCTTTCATCTCACATAATTCCCATTTCTATCTCACTCACACTTTTTAATATTTCTCATCTCTATATTAATTATTTTAATTACATAAATATTTAACCTGCTATCACGGAGGGGGTAATTTTTAACTCGCTAACCGCACTTACACAATATTTAATAAATTAAATTCAACTGAATAAAACTTGATACTAATTAAAGTGTTACAATTAAAATTAAAATCGAGAGGGTACTTGATACATGATGTGTAAATTTAATTTTATGAAGTAACTAAAAAACAAAGAAAGATTATGTCAAAGAAAAAAAAAAAAACAAAGAAAGATAAAGAGTAAAACTTAAGCTAGCAATACGGAGTAAAATTATAATCACCTATATTAAATTTGAGCCCCACTAATTTCCCTGTTCACCCACAATCATTTGGCCCGTGCTTCCTTTTCGCAATTATCCATCTCTAGTCAACCACCTCCAATTATTATATTCCCCCGTATAAATATAAATGCTTCGTTAAAAAAAAAAAAATCTAATTATATATATAAAGGGGAGTTTTTTCCCGAGTTTTTAAAGAGTCACGTAAGATTTAATTTTTTTAGCGCGCCACATAGGATTATAAATTTTTGTTGTAGCCAATTACATAAGAGATTATTAATTTTTTTAAAGTAAATAATTCAAATGCCACGTAGGCAAAATCGGCGAATGAAATTTTAAAGTTTAAATTAATTATATATTATCTTTTAATTTTAGAAATTTTATCTAAATATATAATAAATTTTAACAAATTAATACAAAAATAATAATAATTTTAAAAAATCAAAGTAAACGTGCATCGCACGGGCTTCATCTAATCTAATATATATATACGTAGTATATATTCTTGACCAGGTTTGGCCAATTTATTATCCACCAAATTATTTATTATGCATTCTTTTTAAATAGTTAAAATAATGTACTCTTTTAAAATACTATCTCCTTAACAGTTATTTGCAACATTTATCGAAAAATAGTGTCAACTATTATTTGCAATAAACTTATTTCTTTCTTATTTTAATAACTTTTTTCTATTAAAATGACCAAAATACCCTGACTTAAAAATTATTAGAACATAATACTATACTTAATTACAAAACATTATATAAAACATATTTCTGGGCCTCAACCATCGACTTAAACTTTTGGTTGAGATGGTCTTTTAACATGGTATCAGAGCCAACGTGAGATAAAGGTCACGAGTTCAAATCTCATCCACCCCTCCTTTAAAGTGAAATTAATTTGCGCCAGGTATGGATGGGCCAGTGTTGCATCCACATTTCAAGCCCAAATGGCCTTTCATGTGAAGGGAAGTAATAGAGTATAAAACATATTCTTGGGCCTCAACCATTAGATTAAGGTTTTGGGTGAGATGGTCCTCTGATACATTATAACCTTAATCTAATTTAATTATCCAACCCTTCCCACCCTATCAATCATATTAATCTCAATTCATCATTTCCCCATTATCTTTCTCTCTCCTCCTTCATCTCTCAATTCATCTTCTTCGTCTTAAATCTCTTTTCAAATTCCAATCCATCCTTGTTTGCGGGTTTCACATCTGGTTATTTGTGGGTAGTTTGCTTGATTTGTGGTTCGATTGATGGCTTGTAGGTGGATTTGCAGGTGGTTCATGGGTGGGTAATTGGTTTTTGGTTCGTCGATTGGTTTCAAACTTTCAATGGTTCTTGGTGGTGGTCGAAGGATTTCGAAGGTTCTTGGTGGTTTTGGTTGAGTTTGGTTTGTGGTGGTTTTCGATGGTTTTGTTTCGTGATGGTTTTGGTTGGTGGTGGTTATGGGTTTTGGTTCGTGGTGATTTGTTGGGTTTTGGTTCGTGGTGATTTTGGTTGGGTTTGTGGTTTGGTGTTGATGGTTTTGGTGGTGGTTTTGGGTCATGGGTTTTAGTGGGTTTGAAAGTTTTGGGTTTCGGTGATTATGGCCTGGGTTTTGTTTATTATTATTTTTTTAGGTAGGATTAATACTTAACCACATACCCTTATTTTTAAATAATGATGATTAAAAACTTTTGCCTAAAAGTCCGCGCAAAAACCCCCTTTGTCGCAAATAACTGTTAACGAAGGTAATAATAAAGTTCATTTAGAAATGTACATGACATTAGAAGTTTGTTGCACGTTGATTACAGAATTGGAAGACTTTATATTAGTTATTAAAGAGTGGTTAATGAAAAATGACATTAAAATTACTCTAAGGGCCTATTCTGTTCGGGTTATTTTCAGTTCACTTCAGTTCATTTTTAATAAATTCAGTTCAGTTCCTAATTTTCAGTATATTAGTTATTAAAAAGTGCTTAATGAAAAATGACATTAAAATTACTATAAGGGCATGTTCTCTTTAGATTATTTTCAATTTATTTCAGTTTAGTTCCAATAAGTTTTCAGTTTAGTTCTTAATTTTTGGCCCAACCCAGCCCACCTAAGAGTTCAAAAATTTATTGATGGGATTTAGAGTTGTAAAATATGCAAAATGAGCCTGCTTTCACTTGTTAGGTGTTGCATACAGATTCACGTGTGACCATGTCGTGTCGGGTTTTATGCGTGCCTCAATATCAATACCATACTTTTAATTGCACTTAATACTAAATAATGTTCCTCTATACACCCGTATCAGACCCTTTACACTCAGACATGAATATGACACTTGAACACTTCATTTTAGTTTAAAATCATTGAATTTTTTCACAAAATAATCGAGTCAAACAATTGGACGTGTACCCATGTCAGGAATGATTACTCGAGTCCAAGTAACATAGTATATATACGAAGTAATTATTCAAAATAAAAAAAATTATGCACAACACACAACATTATTAGATTGTACATCTAATTTTATCATTGTAAAATTTAAATAACCATAAACTTAATCAAACAATTTATTGAAAAGATAAAGAGAAGAGTTAAATTAACAACTTACGCTCTTTTAGGGGGAACTTGAGTCCAGTGGTGGCCTGTGTTGAATATAATAATATCAGCATTCGGCCATTGCACTGAATTGGGTGAAAGTTTGTCCAACACAAGAACTCTTTTCCCACTTGAATGATTTTTGTTGAGTTCAACAAGAAATGGGCTCCAAAAAAACTCAACTGTAAAGTTATAATCCTCCTACAATCAATAATGTAACATAAAATTAATAATGAATTATTAAATGAAGTTATACATATTAAATAATAATAAGTAATAAAAGTCATTAAGAGAGTTAATTAATTAAATAGATTCCGTACCTTAACTTTCAAGAAGGTATTAATATGAATGTCTTCATAAAGGATCTGAGCTTTATCGGAAGGATAAGGAATGTTTGAATACATAATGCAAGAAAGAGATTCCCACATGTTTCTGTTGAGTGAGTCTCCTACTAGCACAATTCTCTTGTTTCTAAATCTTTCCACCATGTCTGTCCCATTTAGCCTATTTATTCAACAAACAACTGTTATATTTTTATTTTATTTTATACCTCATAAAGGAAAAACAATTTTTTTTTTTTTTTTTTTTTTTTTTTTTTTTTTTTTTTTTTGTGGAGGATGTAAACGTAGATTGTAGACATTTTAATTAATGAACAACAGAACAAGTATTAAATTTTTCTACAGATATTAAAGTACTAACACTTTTCGTTGTGTTAAAATCTAACTTTATAAATTACCTTAAATATAAAAATACAAATCACAATTTTTTACTCCTTCCGTCCCTAAATTATATTCCTGTTTTCCTCTATTATGCGAGGAATAAACAATAAAAATAGAAATGTAATTTAGGGACAGATGGAGTAATATTTAATTTCGTTTTTTTAAACCCATACATTTCATAGATTTGCACATAGTTTTAAAAAGGTTGTGGGGGTAATAATACAAGAAATGAAACAAACTTGCAACAAAAGTTATTGGATTGATTTTTCTATTGTTTGTAAATAATTTATGATAATAATTAAAGCAAGTAAGATTAGTGGATAAAAGAAATCAATTTAAAAGAGTGTTGCAAGTACGTAACTCTTCCGTGGTACAAGTACTGTATTTTTAAATAGTGAAGTAATTTTCCGTACATCACTTGTGACTAATTCACTTCGATTTATTAGAATAATATTTATATTAAAGCAAACATATTAAGGACATAAAGTATAAAACATGAACCTTAATAAAATCAAATCAGTATATTTAATTAGAAAAAAAAAAAAGTACTCCGCAGTTCTTATTAATAATGATATCATTTCGGTGAAGATAAATTGATTGTAAGGCGCACAATCCAAACATTATGCATATGGGACAAAATATAATACAAGTGATTCACAAGCAACAATCATCAAATTTTATTTCTTATCACTTTATTTATTTATTTTCATCATCAAATAAAGATAAAAAGTTTAATGAATTTTAATTTAATAAGCAAAATCATTAAAAAAATTTAATACTAGAAAATCAGATGAAGAGATAGATTGAGTATAAATTAAAGACAAAAATTAACATATTTTTAATTAAAGAAATGAAATACTTACATGGGTATATCACAATCTCTAGCTTCCCATACCCACTTTTCATACTCCAAATCTGGTCTCCCATTCCTTTTGCAACTCATCTTTTCCTCAATAAATGGACACTTCAACGGACAATAACTAGGTTCTACTTCAGGCTTGTAAACCCATTTTCCATCAAAAATATTGCACTTCTTTTTTGGTGCAGCATTCTCCTTATTTTCAACTTCAAATTTCGGTTTCTCAATGTCCTTTGCTAGAGTAATAGTAGGATTCTCCGACACATTAGGAGGATGCACTGGACTAAGAGAAGATATATACGAACTGTTTGGTTGCTCGGAAGGTGGGTTCAGTTCACTGAATATAGAAGGCTCCGGAGCCTGGACAATTATGCCATCCGACGTTGGCAACTCAGGCTCACTGAATAATAAGGGATTATAGTTGAAAACAGAAGGCTCCGGAGCCTTCATAACTACGCCACCCGACGTTGGCATCCCCGACTCACCAGATGCTAATGGACAAGTAGAAGTAAAAATAGAAGGCTCCGGAGCCTTCACAATTATGCCACCCGACGTTGGCATCCCCGATTCACCGGATAATAACGGACTAGAAGGCTCCGGAGCAACAAGCTTGGTTGCTAAAGGTGGTGGAATAAAAGAAGAAAAAATTGATGGGTTATCATCGTTAGCAATGCTCGACTTAAACGCCTCGGATTCACCGGATTCCGGAGGAAAATTAAGAGTTGATTTTTGATCATTTTCGTTGAGAAAAAGGAGAAGCATAAAGCAGCTAATTATGGTGCCAATTATGATGATTTTCCATGTATCTTTTATTGTGGAAATCAACTCCATGACTTTATGAGTATATTTCTGTAATGTTTTCATGGAAAGATTACTTTAAATGGGTTTTAAGTTAATTGGTAAGAGGAAATTATTTATAAATAAAAAAGAAAAGAAAGAAAGTCTTGGAGTAGTTAATGTCTTCTGTGGATGTGGAATGCATGGTAAAGTAAATTATTGTTTCTTGCGTGCTTTTAGTAGTGATGAACAGGTTTGTACTAGTCATTGTCAGATATAGCTGTGTGAAATAGTGCCTTATAAATAAATCGGAGTACAGTAATAGTTTATGTTTTTTTTTTTTTTTTCGAATAGAGTTTATGTTTTTTTTATTCACTTTTATTTACGTGTATTTTTTTTTTTTTATATTTTTAACCATAGAGGGTTTTTTTTTTTTTTTTTTTTTAATTTCCTCCACAATTATTTGTACCAAACGTCCTTTTTGCGGACTCCTAGACAAAACTTTTAGTACAATTTAAATTAATTAAATTGTATAAAAGAGGAAAATAGGAGAGAGGTCTCATATGTTTAAATTTGTTATTGAATGGGAAATAAGTGAGAGAAAATGATCCCATATGTTTAAGTTTGGTAAGATCTTTTTACACTTTATAATTTACTAAAAGAGGAAAGATAAAAAATTGTTGCACAAAATAGAGAGCACTCATTTACAGCAAATGTTGCGGATAATTGTGGGCGGGGGGAGTATTATTATTATTATTATTATTATTATTATTATTATTATTATTATTATTATTATTATTATCACTTCCTTTTTCCTTTTCATAGGTGTTTTAATTTTAAATGTATCACTTTTATTTTTGTAACTTTATACTACTTTAGGCACATATATTAAGGAGAGGAGAGAGGGTGAGAGAGAATGAAAAAACAAGTTGGGTAACTTGTAAATGGAAGGTAAAAAATTTATTCCAAAAGAAAACGTGTCAACTAAAAAGAAACGGATGTGGTATATTTTATCAATTCTCTCTCTTAGTTTAAACCTCGTTCAAATTATTTAATTAATTCTCTCTTCTATGATCCCCACTTAAATAATAAAAATATATATCCTTTCTCACATATTTTCTCTTTCAATGTCCTCATCTTACTTTCACATTAATAATTTATTCACACACTTATTATATTACTGTAGGCGTCGGTCGAAGTGCGCCTACGTTATAGCATGTGGTGAATATGTTTGGCACTAATAGGAAGTGTGAATTAACATAATACGATTAGGGACAAGGAAAGTAGGGAGCTGCCAACAAGTTTTTAAGGAACTTGTAAACCGTTCACGGATCATAAAAGGCAACCACGATAAAGGGACAACGATAGGCAATAATGATTGACCCGTGAAGGTTACACCCCATTCATAATCCATGAGATTACTAACTCCATATGGTTCAGAATCACGAAAGGAGGATCGGGGATGATGGTACGAAGTGAGTCATGGAGTCACGTTCGCCCGTATTGGCCTCTACTCGATTCTTATAGTGAAAAGTGATTCCTGCGATTTCAAAGGCATACAAACAAAGATTCAATTTGCTCCAAACTATTATTAAGCTGAATTGGTTTAATATTCATGCAACATATAATTCTAAAATATTAGTGATTACTTGAATTAATAACAAGATTAAAAAGGAACCTAAGCCGGTTGTCCAAATTATCTTATTAGGCGTGATTTTCAATTACATATTCCCTTTAAACATGCAATATGGTGATCAATAATATAATAAAATTAACATTAATATTGGAAGCAATTTAACAATAATAGCGTTAGTCAAATCAAATATAAATTATACTAGCAATTTTAAAATAAAATAAGCAATAAAATTAATTAAAAACTGACATTCTGCGCGTTCCTTTAAATTGCTACATCATGATTAAATTGTTAGTAACTTCAATAAAAAAAATATAAATTAAATAGAAATAATTAAATTAAATAAAAAGTAGAGTTGATTTGGTCCAAACCCTCAGTTATTTATAACTTTCACGCCTTGGTTTAAGGACGGAACCTTGGGTTTAGTACAGACTCCTTGGAGTGCTTAAGGGAAGAATGGTGTAATTAGTAATATATGTTTAAAGCTTAGAATATGGTAGAGAGAGAAGAGAATGATTTTTGGTGTAAAAGAGAGGAAGAGAGAAGGATTTGATGATCAATATTGTTGATGATTGAAAAAGGGGTGATATGACCTCTATTTATAGAGAAAAAAGAGGGGTCGAAGAATTAAGATAAGATCCGAATTAAATCGGAATAAAACTCAATAGACAGCAGTTTTTGCGGTTTTTGTTTTTATCATATCCTTTGATCCAGAAATCGGAATAAGATTAATAAGATATCGTTGGAAAGATCTTGAAGTCTACTTTCTAACCCAATTAGAATCAGATTAAAATATTTTGTAGAATAAAAAATATGGATGAAATAGTGAGACGGTGTCAGTTTTGAATAGAGTTTGACATTTTATTCATATCTTTTTCGTTATAGCTCGGAATTGATATTATAATATATCATTGGAGATAATTTCAAGGGCTATCCAACCATATAAAATTTGTATAAAAAATATGATGCACGAAAATAATATCTGTCTATATTTGAACGTCTTTCAATTCGGATAGAAATAGGATTTTCAAAAAGAACAGTTTTATTCAATTTCAAACTCGTTAATCTTATCTTTTCAAAAAGGATAATTAAGATATTTTAGAAACTTATAGAAGCTTCTAATTAATCCTAATTGGTTTAGGAATGGGATTAAACAATTTTGACCCTCCACATGATCATTGGGTCGTAGGCAAGGTGGGCTTAGGTTCGGTTTGGACTCACTTTAATATTTTGGCCATAACTTATTCGTTATAACTCAGATTTGGGCAGATAATATATCGTTGGAAAGCTCTTTTAAAGCCCCATCCAACTATTTAATCATTGGACCCAGATTATGGACCAAAATAAACTGGACTAAACATTTTTATAAAAAGGACACGAAATGAATTATTTTGGGTTTAAAGGCACGAAAAGAGGAAAATAAGTTATGGTTTGGGGAAATGGGCTAGAAGTTGGGTTGGTTTATGAAATAGAAATATGGATTTAAGTAATCTAAGATTAAATACTCAACCCGACCAATAATGGCGGTGAAAGGTTGTTCATCATTGGGTTTGGTTTTGGGGAGACATTTTTAGGTGTCTACAATTACTCTCCTAAAACTCTGTGCAATTCCAAGTGATGCAAATAAAAAAACGGAGGGAGTAGTTTTTACAAATTTATGTTAGAAAATTAATTTTGGCACACCTCTAATTGATTTTGGCACCTTTATGTGTGAAGAGCATAGAAAACTGCTATCTCACATAGAATTGTGACAAAATCAATTTTGGTGTGCCAAAATATTTTCCCCTTATGGTGTCATGGTATAGACTATGGAGTGAGAACATCTAAAGGCACTTAGCTAAAAGAATACTCCCTCTGTGTTTTAATAAGTGTTACACTTTGACTGGTACATAATTTTAGGCAAATCAATTGACTTAAATAAAATAAGAAGTAAGTGGGGTAATTGGAGTATTAAATAATTATTGAAAAAATATAGTTGGGTTAATAGTTTATTGAAAATTAATGAATGTGAGAGGAAAGATATAATAATAATAAAAGTAGTAGTGGGTTTAGGTGGAGACCATGAGAAAAGAGAGATACTTTCTCCGTTACATATTACTCGCAAGTCGCAACAAAATTATATTTTGTGTCTCACAAACAATACCTCTTTGTTGCGAGTAATTCGTAACAGAGGAAGTATAATATTTAAATGTAGTTTTTTTCCAAAAAATGAAGTGTAACACTTATTAAAATACGGCCGAATTTGATAAGTGTAACACTTATAAGGTAATATTTGGTTAATAAAAGGAAGTGGGAATTAAATTGCTTACATTAAATTCATGTGATTTTTCTAAAGTTTTTAGTTTGCAATATGGGAAATAAGTTTTCATAGGAATTTTTATTTACCTAGGGGAAGCTAGGTAATTGAATTTCTCGATTTTATGGGGAAGTGGAAATTCCTAAGATTTTCAACTTCCTCTATTCCACTATTTTTTTTTTGTCAACCAAACAACTCTCCCTTATTGCAATTTCCAATTTAGAAAATTTTCTAGTTACTAGCTTAACCGTTAGAATTAAAAAATGAAATTAGCCTGGTTAAGCAAATTAGCTTTGCCAAGCTAAATTGCTTAAGAATAAACTTGCCAAAAAATAAGTGTTGATATGATAATAAAATTAAATTAAGAAGCTAATTAAAATATTAATTCTTATTTAAATCAAAAGCTAGTAGCTAAGTGTAGGGAATATTTTCAAGCCTTAAAAAATCCCACTAGCTCGAACCCCACTGTGATCATACACTAAAGTACGGTGGCGTCCAAAAGGGAAGAAGATAGAGCAAAAGAGTCGCTAACAAGTTTTTAAGGAACTTGTAAACCGTTCACGAGGTGAAGGTTACACCCCTTAACGATCCAAGAGATCGCCAACTCCATAAGGTCATGAACCAAATAAGGGTTCGGGGATGATGTTACAAATCCAACCTAAAAGAGATTGAACCTGCCCTAATAATAGGCCTCTACTTTATTCTGCTCGTATTCATGTGCGCTTTCTGACTAACATACAATCAATAGGATTAACCCTAAACCTGTTTAATCTATGTTGGTTGAATATTAATGCACAAACAAATCTATTATTGGCGATCACTTGAATTATAATCACAATTAACCCTAAACAAGATTATTAATTATCTTATTAAGCATGGTTACAAGTACCAATTCCCTTTAACCTGCAATAAAAGGTGATCAAGCAATAACAATATGCATATCAAGCAACATAATGAATATTCATCATCAATCAAATCATAAATGTTAGAAAGAACATAGGAAGCATCATATTCTTAATCATGCTTAATATTAAAAACACCCTAGACATGATACTAGGAATCAAAATAATAATAAACATGATGTCTACATCATAAAATCAATTAATCAATAAAGTACTTACTTGGATGCCTCGTACCTCTTTCTAATTACAAAATACACACGTTAGTAACTTCAAGGAAAAAAATAAACAAAACAATTAAATTAAATAATTGAAATAGAGATTTGGGGCCAAACCCTCAGAAATTAAAACCTTTCACGTCTAGGGCGAAGGCAACTTCGAATATGGCTAGGTGCATCAAAATCTTGTGAATGCGGAATTTTGTGTTAAAGAATAAAGTTTAGAAAGAATGAACGAAAGATTAATGATTCATAAACTAATTTGTTGACGATTGAAGATTGTAGATGATGAATGAAAATGGAATTTATTAAAACTTAAGAATAAAAGAAGT